CAGCGCTGATACAACGGCTGATAATCGTGTCACCCATTCGGTTGATCTCAATCTCTCGGATTTCATTTCGATCCCATACTGATAGCCAAACAAATGTTCCGCTAATGTCCGGTTAAATCTTTCGACGATAGCTTGACTGCGGTGGGCCTCTCTTTCACCACGGACGATTTCGACATCGTTCTTTGTTAACAGTTTAGTTACCGATCCCATAAACTCGCGACCGGGATCTACTTGAAATAGCTTAGGCCATTTCAGAGGTCCGCGTTTATATACACGACTCAGTGCATTAGCTACTTCTGTTGATTCTTTCGAGGTTAATGGCTCAGCCTCTTTGTATTGACTAGCCACATCCACTATGGTTAAAGCGTATTTATACGTTTTGCGTTTTACCTTATCGTGGGGAAGAAACAAGAGGTCAGCCTGATGAACTTCATTCATCGTAAAAATATCAAACTTCTTCCTCGGTATATAACGCGGTGCCGGTAAGTATATTTGCCACATCGCTTGTTTCTTTAACCAATCCTTGGCCACATCTTTAGAAACCTTAGCCGCGGTGGCTAATTTTTTTATTGCTCCTACACCTTTCCAATATCCTCGTGGGCTATAGTAAATTTTATTCATTATTAATTATGAAGATATTTCGTTTAATACAACTCATGACTATCGTTAAATCGCATAATCATTTTGACATAAAAAATGCCATCTGTAGTAGCAGTATAGGTAATAAATCTGGCTCCAGTGGAAGTGGTCCAGAACCCCTATTAACTATAAAAATTTGTATCATTGGCTCCAGGTGGTGGTGAGCTGGAGCCAATTTAGCTGAATCTCATGACTATCGTTAAATCGCATGATCATTTACGCATAAAACATTCCATCTGTAGTAGCAGTATAGGTATATAAATCTGGCTCCAGTGGAAGTGGTCCAGAACCCCTATTACCTATACTACTAATTGAAATGAATTAGACGCCCTAATTTAATCTCATCATTTTAATTTGGATCTATTTTGATCTTACGATGATTTGCCAATGGATAGATACATATATAGTTTGCCGATGTATACGTGCATATACATGTCACTTGTAACAGAATGACATGACATATATCAGCTTTACTCATCTTTCTGGGGCAGGGAGTTAACTGACTATAAAAGTATAAAAGGACTAACAAGTCTATGCATAGTCCAATCAAAGTTGCATAAAGAAATCGACATCCAGTTCATAAACTGCTGTGCAGATTTTGGTCGATTACAGAATTTGCAAAGCATGTGTACCGTCAATTGGCATCAACAGATATTTTGCAAATCTTTTCATCATGTGAAGGTGCTCACATGGTTTGATGCACTTTGCAAAGTAAGAACTGTTTTATCACAATATAGATTTTAATTATCGATCAGATTGTCTTGACTGGGCACCACCATTTGAGTTGATGCAAATGCAAGCCATATGAGAGGATGAATCTGATTGGTCAATAGGAGGGACATAGAAGGGACATAACTGGCAATAGGCACTGGTGGCGCTACAATTGAGTCCAGACATTCCAGTATAGTTCAGCAAGGATGGTAACTGGACTTTTAGTCAGCTTACTCCCTTGCCTCAGGAAGATGGCTCTGCTGGGATTGTGGGCAAACTGTGGGCAAACTACTTCAAAACAATTTCCAAATCCTCATAATCTTAATAAGAATGGAGATTGCAAACACACAAGTCTATATCACTAATTAATACATATTGGCGCAGGGGAGGGGGGTAGACTGCTGGATAAAGCATTCGTTTGTCACGCCAAAGACCCGGGTTTGATTCCGTAAAACTATACTCATTCACTCACATATTGGCTCAGAGTAGGTTGTGATGGACCTCTTGTTTTTCAAGGTCACACAACTAACCAACATGGCAGAAAAAGAAATTCTGGACATCTTCAAACTAGATACAGTTCAGGATGATGGTAAGTGTAACAGTATGTGTGTTGGGGGTATTATTGTAGTGGACTGCCAGTACAAATGTATGAAGGAAATTCAGATATTTTTCAGACTGAACGACAACTGAACTGTCAGTATTTTCCTCTGTGCTGACAGGTCTCACCTTTTGTGTTGAACATCACATTTAATCTAGTGTCAGGTCTGTATATAGTGTTAGGATGATTCAGTGGGATGACTTCAGTTGTTGTCATTCATAATTGAGAATGCTTTAACAGTGGTATCATTGAGTGAGTGAGTTGAGTTTAACGCTGCTTTTAACAGTATTCCAGTTATATGACAGCATGTTAGCTTGTTGTTGGAGGAAAGCCGGAGGTGAAGCAGGTATCAGACATTTACCCCCTTTGGTGAAACTCATGAGCACAAGCATGGCAAAGTAACCAGTCCCAGTCTTGCTTCTTCAATCATCTCATGTAATGGTTGATAGAAGTGTTGTTTGATATCCTGAGACAAGGGTGTGATTCTGTATGTCTGTGTCATGATGGAAGTGTTGTTTGATATCCTGAGACACAGGTGAGATTCTGTATGTCTGTGCTATGATGGAAGTGTTGTTTGATATCCTGAGACAAGGGTGAGATTCTGTATGTCTGTGCCATGATAGAAGTGTTGTTTGATATCCTGAGAAAAGGGTGAGATTCTGTATGTCTGTGCCATGATCAAAGTGTTGTTTGATATCCGAAAAAACACAGGTGAGATTCTGTATGTCTGTGCCATGATGGAAGTGTTGTTTGACATCCTGAGACACAGGTGAGATTCTGTATGTCTGTGCCATGATGGACGTGTTGTTTGATATCCTGAGACCCAGGTGAGATTCTGTATGTCTGTGCCATGATGGACGTGTTGTTTGATATCCTGAGACCCAGGTGAGATTCTGTATGTCTGTGCCATGATGGACGTGTTGTTTGATATCCTGAGACACAGGTGAGATTCTGTATGTCTGTGCCATGATGGACGTGTTGTTTGATATCCTGAGACCCAGGTGAGATTCTGTATGTCTGTGCCATGATGGACGTGTTGTTTGATATCCTGAGACCCAGGTGAGATTCTGTATGTCTGTGTCATGATGGACGTGTTGTTTGATATCCTGAGACCCAGGTGAGATTCTGTATGTCTGTGCCATGATGGAAGTGTTGTTTGATATCCTGAGACACAGGTGAGATTCTGTATGTCTGTGCCATGATGGAAGTGTTGTTTGATATCCTGAGACACAGGTGAGATTCTGTATGTCTGTGTCATGATGGACGTGTTGTTTGATATCCTGAGACACAGGTGAGATTCTGTATGTCTGTGTCATGAGCAGAGTCATCTGGTAAGAAGGTGGTCCATTTATAGTTGGTGTCTCTATCAGGTTGTTTTGACAAGCAGATTCACTGAAACCGATTTTTGCTTATCATCTGAAGCTGAATATTGGAATTTGTTTCCAGAGATTCTCCGACAGCTCTATGGGGAGGCTAGTGAAGGAGCATCACAAGAAGCGAGTCTTCAGGCTTGGCTGTCACTGCTACCTGGCAATATCTCTGCTATGATCCAGCTAGCACTGCGTCAGGAGCGACCATTCCTTCCACCAGGTGTCACCCCAGAGATGATGGCAGAAACCAATGACACTCTACCATGCATGAACCATATTGAGATTCTCTATGTAGGAACTTGGATTTATTTTACAAAATGTTTCTTTATATCATTTTGGTCTTCAAAAACCCTTTTGTGTACTTGTAATAGGTTAGACCAATTGGTTGTGTACCTGAATGAGTTTGTTTTATATAGTGTCATACAGCTCTGGCTTTTGTGCATCAAAACACTTCTATCCTCTGTAACTAAGAGGCCTATGAAGATAAAACTTGGTAAGAATAATCCTAGAAATGGTGTTACAGCCTTACATTATTCCAAACAAATTTTGAATTTGTCAACATGGACACTACAGCATCCATGACAGATACAGAATATTTGTTTGTTTAGAGATGCATAGCGAAAGCAGCAGTAGCAGACATGGACACCATGGCAGCACTCATCTATGTGGTAGACCGAGCTGCATACAGGTTTGGGGCCTCCAGGGCCCTGCTGCAGGTCTTGAACATCCTCCTGGACAGAGCGCCCCACACACCAGTGGCACCACAGGTCATCATCAGGAAGGCCCGGGTCATGAAGGACGATGGTGACCTTCATGGAGCTGTCCGAGTGCTGGACGCTGTCATAACAAGGGGTAGAGAGGATTTTTTCATACAATACAGGGTCATGACAGGCTCACTGTATCATCCACTGATTCTATAGAGATGATGTATTGGGCTCTGCTCTTGTTTCCAGACAGTGTGTGGGACTATAGAGATGATGTAGTGGGCTCTGCTCTTGTTTCCAGACAGTGTGTGGGACTATAGAGATGATGTATTGGGCTCTGCTCTTGTTTCCAGACAGTGTGTGGGACTATAGAGATGATGTATTGGGCTCTGCTCTTGTTTCCAGACAGTGTGTGGGACTATAAAGATGATGTATTGGGCTCTGCTCTTGTTTCCAGACAGTGTGTGGGACAATAGAGATGATGTATTGGGCTCTGCTCTTGTTTCCAGACAGTGTGTGGGACTATAAAGATGATGTATTGGGCTCTGCTCTTGTTTCCAGACAGTGTGTGGGACAATAGAGATGATGTATTGGGCTCTGCTCTTGTTTCCAGACAGTGTGTGGGACTATAGAGATGATGTATCGGGCTCTGCTCTTGTTTCCAGACAGTGTGTGGGACTATAGAGATGATGTATTGGGCTCTGCTCTTGTTTACAGACAGTGTGTGGGACTATAGAGATGATGTATTGGGCTCTGCTCTTGTTTCCAGACAGTGTGTGGGACTATAGAGATGATGTATTGGGCTCTGCTCTTGTTTCCAGACAGTGTGTGGGACTATAGAGATGATGACCAATACAACAATGTCAAGGCTGTTTGTGTGCAGATCAAGGGTCATATTCTTCACAATCTAGGTATGTTTGTCGTGTACTCTTAGATCAATTGTATATACAGTGAAACCCCCCTTATACAGATGATACTTTTCCCACCGGAATCATACAGATTACCAAATTGTCATTACAGAATAATGTTCCTCTGGATATTCCTAGACATCCCAACTTGGGTGTCTGCAAGGTGCCTGGTAGGGTTCCCCAAGGGTCTGGACTAACATGCTGTCACTGTACAGCCAAACACTCTTCAGGAAAAGATCACACTAACACTTTTTGCCTAATGCAATAAATTTGTTTTATCTAAGTACTGTAAACAACAATAGAAAAGTAGTTTAACAATTGTTGGTTTATTGGTGACCTTGTAACATGATTTGTGATGTTTGTTGTTTGACACAAGCAATATGACAGCTGTATGATGGAGGCCTGTAAATAATCAGATTAACCTGTGATTGAGTTGATGTGGTTGTGGTATGAATGCACTCCACCAAGGCACTGAGCCTCTTGGAACAAGCATTGATTACCGGGGACAAATTCTAACCTGGAATCCCTGAAGGGCTGACCTATTAACAGCATCATATGTGGACTTTATTCCATGTACAATTTGGTATAACACTTCATTAAGGTCAAGTTTTTGTTTGATATATAGAATATTTACACAGTGTGTAATACAGCTGTATGTTTATTAGATGGGTGATCTCTTCACGGGCAAGTAATAAAAGCAAATAATACATGTGAACTGTTTTTGACATATTAGTAAGACCACATGTTTCTTTTTACTTGCTTTATAATTTTTTTATGGGATTTTTGTAAGTGGGAAAATAAATAAATAAAGCAATTCAATTTTTTAAAAAGTGTTCTGCTTCAGTACAGGTCAGCTGGTATAAAAACATAAAAACAGTTTAATGTGGGAGGAGAGTCTGCAACACAGCGGTTGCTTTAAGCAATGCAAACCTCACGAATCCAGATGTTGTGCATCTACCCCCGGTATGCCTCCTTTCAGTTTCAGAAACAACAACAAACTTTATTTTGACTCCCATGTTTAACATTTATCAACTTCAGGTGGTCCTTGTTTAGGAAATATGTTTTGGGGGCAATATGCTATCAGCTTATTGGCAGGATAAAAAAATAGAGAGCAAATTCTGAAACAAAATTTACAGTTGGCAGACCCATAAAGCAAGTAATAACTTAAGTGTGGCCCAACAATTAGAAACAGTAACAAAGAAAGAATGGTTATTTAAAATAATAAATATGATAATAGATATACCTTGTCATAGGACCCCTTATACATTTTCATATTTCAACCGTTTAGGAATGTGGAAAGACGCCATTGAGCCCTTGGTAGAATCGGTTGACTCTTTTAACAAGATCCATGATGACAAGGGAACATCATCTTCCCTTGGGCTTCTGACCAAATGCCTGAAGAAGCTTACGATGGCTGACTACAATGAAATGAAACAAAAGTACCCTACAATGTTCTCCCAGTCTCATCCCTGCTATGAGGCCTATGTCAAGGGAATGGATGCCGTCAAGTACATCGTAGACCTGGGACAGACACTCTATGTTGCCAAACACCAAGTAAGCAACATAGGCATGGTCCAGAGATAAATATATAGCCAATGTTAAGGGTGATGAATGATGGAATGTGCATCATGACGCCAGTAGGATCAAGTGGTTGCAGTTTTGTGGGGTACAAATTCAATTACATTTTAGTGTCATTTCAGTAGATCTCAATGAAAGCCTAATAGTTTGCTTATTCTGGACTCAAACATTGAAGGTCAGTGATATATTGTCAGCCTTTATATAGACTAAGTTCGTATTTTTATCCCCCGCCACGAAGTAGAGCAGGGGAGATAGGAAGATCACTTGCACTTGAAAGTTTGCATGCTTATCTAGGAGATACTTGTCAAGAATGTGTTTGAAAATTGATAACGTAAATTATTTTTACATAGTTATGTCTCTTGATCCATGCTCTACAATTTAGTGCATAGTGTCTGCAGTGGGGACAAGTTTTCTCAGAAACTACTAAAGCTTATCAAAGAGATACTTACGAGGGGTGTTCATTAAAGATTTTCCCTGACCCACTTCCGATGGACCTAGTGGAATGAAACTTGGCATAGGTATTAGTCTTTCTCCACATAGGAACCACCAAGAGTTACACACTTCTCCCATCGTTTTATACAACTATGGAGACCTCGCTTGTAAAAGCCCTCATTTTGCGTCTCAAACCAGGACTTGACTTCAGAAATCAGTGTTTCATCATCTGTGAAACGTTTTCCCTTCAAAAATGACTTCATGGTTGGAAAGAGGTGGAAGTCAGATGGTGCAAGGTCAGGAGAGTAAGGAGGATGTGGAAGGATTTCATAGCCACAGGACCGCGCTTCTGTCTCAGCAACATGAGAGTTGTGTACTGGAGCATTGTCTTGCAGGAGACGGACACCCTTGGTCAGCGAACAGTTATACGTCTGTCTGTCAAAATGGCGGTCTCCACTTGATGGATAGTGTCCTCATCAATGGCTGAATGGGGGCGACCAGGAATGGCAGCTGTTTCCACAGATGTCCGACCACACTTGAACTGGCGATGCCAGTGTTTAACAACGTCATATGATGGGGCATCTTCCCCATAAGTTGCTTTCATTTCATCGAAGTTTCTTTTGGTGTGTGACCTTTCAAATATAAAAACCTAATCACTGCTCGGTATTCTACTGGCTCCATTGTCACACCCTACTCGATCATAACACCTGTAAAAGTGGTAAGATTAATAGTTTGGTGCTGCAAATTCAGACATAACCCAAAGATACATGTATCATTACACATGTGAAATTTCAACCAAATATGATAACCCTAAGTGGTTTAGGGGAAATCTTTAATGAACACCCCTCGTATCAAGACTGAATTTGAGAATTGGTGCCATAAATTATCTTTTCCAGAGGCCTTTTGTGTGTATTAATTTCACATTTAATAATATTTTTCTGATGACATAAAGCAATCCTAGTGCCCATCTCTTCTTAAGGCTTTATAGGACTCTTTTTTATCGTTTATATTCTCTACTGTATGAAAAAACAAACTTCTTATGTGCCGCATGGTGGTGATAGTGATAACGGTGTTTCTTTGTTTTGTTTAGTCTTATTTGTTGTTAGACTTCTTACACCCTATAGTAAGATGTAATACTCCAGCCATGCCTAGGAGGTGTTGAGAAGGCACCACAGAAGACATCTCTTGTTATAAAAAATGGCTGCATTATTTCGGAACATTGTTTGATAAGCTACAGTAATATACCACTGAACATTAATGTTTCTGCCAAATACAACCTGCTGTTATGTTTCAGCTTGTTGCTGAGGAATCCTTGCTGATGTTTGCTCTTCAGCAGCCACCTTCTTTGAGAGAGTTCATGTGGTTCCAGACCATTGTGGCAGACATCAAGAAAACTCTCGCTACACATGAAACTGTCAGCAATCTCAAGAGTCTGGAAACATATTTTGAGTTTGTGAAAGCAATTTTCCTGATTCATTTGACCTTATACTTCTCTCCCTTTCCTCAAGACCGTTCATTATCCAAGTACCTGGAGCAGGTCAGTATTGAGCTGTACCGCCATCTTTGTTCTTGTCAGACCAGACGTCAACTTGTGACAAACTTGGAACATACCAGGAACTCTGTGTCTTTCATGAATGCATCTCTTGGCATCCTGGGATTGCCCATGCTACAGGGCACTGATAGTGTCTCGGTGAATGTGGAAGTGTCATCACCAGCATCAGACGACTCCTCTGACAAAACACAAGGGAAAGCAGATACCATTAAAGAGTCATCAAAAGCAGATCAAATGTCAGATAAAGCAGGTACAGTTCCTGCTGTGCAGAATCCTTTAGCACCTGCTTCCAGACAGAATCCTGGCACATTTCCAGGAGCTGTAAAGAGTCAGAACCCCAAAGCAACAGACCTATATTCAAGGAAGTATATAGGACTAACAGTAGATGCATCTTCATTCTCAACAACCTCAGGTTCTTCTAGTCAGTCTGGATCAGATGGGACTTCAAGCAAGGATCCAGAACTTGTGAATCTATCGGTCATCTCCGTTAGTGCCACTATGGAGAAATTTAACATTCTTGATTTAAATTCAGGCTCAGAAATTTTGGGTGCATTTAATGACAAGAATACTGCACCTGCTACCCTAATTTCTGGTCAGACTTCCCATAGAAACAAGACAACTTCTACCTCTGCTTCTTCAGATAAATCATTGACGGACAGTTCAGCCTCCAGGAAGTCCACTTCCTCCAGTTCAGGATCAGCTGGCCTGTCCTCCGCTTCTACTTCTTCCTCTAGAGTCTCCGGAGAGTCTGGGTTTAGTTTCTCCCCATCTCCCACCCAGCATAGCTCCAGTGAATCCTCCACCTCTTATGTGGACTTGTCAGCCACCACAGAAGAGTGGCATAATCTGACTGATGAGACGGGTGAGTTATCTCCCCTAGTGGATCTGAGTTCCTCCACAGTAAACAGCTCACTAGAGGGCCTTCACTTCGGGCACAGTGTTGAAACAAGGAGTGCTGAGGAGTACCTGGAGCATTGGGAGCCGCCCACAGTGGATGAGACTATCAAAGTAAACAGTGAGTGTATCATATAGTTTTTTACTAATCCTGCATTACTCCTTAATGCATTCACTACTTACCTTACGACAAAAGACGGGACAGCGTAGCGGTCCTGGGTGAATAAATAAAACTGTTGCTCGTTGTCCCATTTTTGGTGACTACTGCCTCTGTCCTGTGACCTTGATGACCTGAGGTCACCTCTTCACATCACTGCCTGTCACGCTACAGCATTGATGTGTATCAGCGGAGCTCTTGTTTTGGATTAATTTTGACCTTCAGTTTTCGTCTGCAATTCTAAAAGTGATGTGTGACGGGTGATGTATTTTTATTTATATTACTCGCACCATGTTGTGCTGTTTGTTCACCGCCATTTTGAATTTTGTTACAATTGTTTGCATGTCAGGGTAGTCAATTTGTTTACAAATCTCAGCTACTTATGCTACTTAACATATTTATGTGTTCTTAAATACTACTAGCTTTGGCGTTACATTGAGTTGCGTATATACAAATTATTGAATACACTTTCAACTTGTTACAATATTTTTCCAGTCCCACTTCATCAAAAAGTCTATATTTGTGTAACTTATGCTTGCGTATTGTACTAAAACGTGGAAAACAATCAGCTAAAGATCCTCATCAACGTTGTCTGGCATGGATGCAAATTTGTGCATCAAACTCTAAATGTGTCTTTTGTGTAAATCTCTCTTCAACGAGTTTTACAACTTATAGGCAGGTCACTCACAAACGTATTTTGCAGCTATCCCGTCGTGAGACTAGGAAGATGTCACAATCCCTGAATAGCAAGGGACATAGTTCAGTCATTACTACACAACCATTATCTTCGGCGCATAATATGTCGGCCATTACTGTCACTGCTGAAGTGCACGCTTTGCAGAAAACATCAAATCCAGAGGATTTTGTGAGTATCATAACTGACCCTATTTTTCAGCCGCCTGAGGCATCTAGATCTACTAGATCTGTGACGTCTGCACCAGTGTCTCAAGACGCTTTGATGGGGGTAGCGCAAACCCATGCCTGCTAACACCATTGAGCATTGCGTCTCAGATACCTAAAATGACATCAGCCCCAGGGCTATCAGTGAACAATGCTCCGCAGGCAACGCATGATCAGCTTAGTACATAGTGCTGTACCAACATATCCAGCGCAGCAGATGCATCAGGCGTCACACCGTTACAGAACACTAATTGGATGCAATTTTGCAGTCCATGTGGCAGCAGTCCATGACACAATTGTATCCTGCTCCCACGCCTATGCCTTTGTATCAGACGCCTGCGCCAGTTTCATCTATGGCAGAGGTAGCACTACACATCAGAGTAAAAGCCGTTCACCTTTAGCTCCCAGTCGTCCCAGTTGTCGTTACGTTCTCAACATACTACGTTGCGGTTACCAACTAGAGGTAGAGGTACTTCCACAGTTGACCAAAGCTCCACTTCCTTGGTATTATCAAAGAAAGCAATATCTTCTATTAAAGGCTAGCATAGACATTCTGTTGGTAAAGAGAGCCGTAGAGATTGTACACACACCAGTGTTAACACCAGGTTTATATTCCCACATCTTCCTGGTAACCAAGAAGGACTCAGACAAGATGAGAATGATACACAATCTCTCTGTATTTGAACGTTTCCTGAGCGTCTCGATCTGTGGGATGCCTACCTGATATACCGATCCATCCCTCAGACCGCAGGTGCCTCAGATTCCAGTTCAATGGGGTTCACTACCAGCGGGCAGTGCTCCCATTTACACGAGTATTGAAGCCTATGACTGAGTTTCTACACCTGAGGAACATTTGGTTTGAGTCGTACATAGACGACTGTCTCCTGTGTCATTGACACACGCAGACATTAGTACGCCCCCGGAATTTCACCAGAAGCCTACTGTATCAACTGGGGTGGATAATCAACGAGGCGAAGTCAGAGTTAACTCCATCCTATCGACTCCAGTTCATAGGAGGCCTGTTCCAAACAGACCAGGATGTCTTATCAGTTCCAAGGGACAGATGGCACAAGATTTTATGCCTCCTGTCACCTGCTCTTCATCAACCATGCACACTTTGGCAATGGCAAGTGTTGTTAGGGTTACTCACCTCAGCACCGAATCTAACCAGCAGAAGCCAATTACAATTACGCCATATTCAACAACTCAAGGCCATCACTCTAATCTAGCTCAACTAAGGCCTTACCTCAATTGGTGGACAGTAGATGACTGTAGAGTCTAAAGTCTTTGGAGGAGTCTCTTTATCTGAATTATCCCCGAATCTACACCTGTTCGTAGATGCCTCCCTTCAGGGCCAGACAGTCTCAGGGCTATGGTCTGGCGCTCATTGAAAGTGCACATAAACAACTTGGAGTTGGAAGCATTGATTCTGGCCATATCACATTGGCAGAATCATCTACAGTTCGCCCAAATTGCAATATCCACAGACAAAAGTACTGTGGTGTAGTGTGTGTACAATGAGGGAAAAACCCACTCCCACTCCCTGTTTCAACAGACATTCAGGTTTTTCCATCTAGTGGATCGTCTGCAACTACAGTTCATAGTTCAACACATCCCCGGATGTCAACATTCTGGCCGATGTTTTATCTCGTCCAGACAGGGTGGCCCCCACCGAGTCGAAACTTCACACAGAAGCATTCCAGTTACTGCTTCAGAAAATCGGGCAATCACACATTGACCTGTTTGCAACTTGCCAAAATTACCAACTCATGACGTATGTCTCCCCGTTACCGTATCCGCAGACTTGGGCAGTAGACTTGTTCAGAATTCATTGGGAAGGGTTAAATGTGTAGGCCTTTCCGCCACCAGTCTTACTTCCCAGGGTAATGCAAAAGATTAAGGAGACAAGGAGCCTTGCTCTGATTTTGGTTGCACCCTGGTGGCTGTTGAGAGGGTGGTTTGTCAAGCTCAGAAATCTAGCAGAGGATGATCCACTCCCCCTCCCACAGCGGTCCAACCTACTTATCCACCCTCACAGCAAATTGCCTCATCCAACCAAAGACAGGTTTCGTCTGCACACTTGGTTCATCTTAAAAAGGCGTTAAGTTCAAAGGGCTATTCGGCACGGGCAGCAAAAGCTATAATGTTAGCTCATCGTCCCTCTTCTAGAGGCCAATATGATGACAAGTGGGGATCGTTTGAAACTTTTTGCAAGGCAAAGAATCCAGACCCTACCACTGCATCACCACAATTCCTAGCTGAATACCTCCTACATTTGCATAACCCAAAGACACTTGAAAGGTAGCATCATTACTACGTACTTAGTTGCACTTAACTCAGTATTGGCCGTTCCAGAAAATTGCAAAATGACCAAGGTCCCGGAACTACAGGCCCTACTACGCTCATTCATGCTTGAGGATCAGAAGGCCAAGTTCCGCCCACATGCTTGGGACTTGAATGTGGTGCTTCGAGGTTTGCGAGGGCCCCCCTTCAAGTCCCTCTATACATCCTCATTTTATTACCTCACCAAGAAAACAGTGTTTCTCTTGGAATTAGCCATGCTAGTAAGGGTGAGCGAACTACATGCAATCGAAATCATCGGGGTTCGCTTTGAGCAGGGGACGGAGTGGTACATCTCGGGTGGTGCTAGGAGTTTATTGCCAACTACCAGGCCAACCTGATCGTTCCTTCACCATCCAACCAATATCGACTATTGTGGGAAACGTAGATGAGGGTGAACTTCTACTATGCCTGGTGCGGGCACTGCAAATTTTCATCCGCAGTTCCAAGACTAGGCGTGGTTCGAGGAAGCAGTTATTTATACCCGTTTCTCCTACATCCACGACCGAAGTTAGACGCAACACCATATCTCTATGGTTACGCGCAGTCATCCTTCAGGCTTATTCGATTGCCAATCTGGATCCGCCGAGAACGAATAATCCTCAGGGCGCCTGCCTCTACCATGGCTTTACACAGCAGTTATTGTTAAAAAAACGTTCTGGAGGTCTGACACAGTTTTCGCCAGTCATTAATTATCTTCGCGATGTGACTCTTGAGGAGGACAAAGGTATACAAAGTTTTGGGCCACTGGTTGTTGCCCAGCAGGTTACCAAACCCTGACGCACCTCCAAACTGTCTGATACAGATGCATTATGCAGGATAAGTAAAAAAATTAGTAAAATATTTTTTACATTTGTATACTTATCCTGCATTACTACATTTAAGGCCTACCTGTCGCAGACTTGCCTCCCCAGTTTGGCTTCAGAAACCTAAAAAGTATGTTTTTCTAAAAGCTCGGGTGACAGTTAGTGATGTGAAGAGGTGACCTCAGGTCATCAAGGTCACAGGACAGCGGCGGTGGTCACCAAAAGGGGGACTACAAACAACAGTTTTATTTCTTCACCCAGGACCATCACCGTTACGCTGTCTCGTCTTTTGTCGTAAGGTAAGCAGTGAATGCATTAAGGAGTAATGCAGGATAAGTATACAATTGTAAAAAATATTTAGATATTACTAATATCGTATTCCGCGTAATAAGCGCTCAGGGTGCTCTCAAAATTAGAAATAGGGGGCTCTTATTAGAATGGTATTTTGGTGAATTTTGTTTGTTTGTGGTTTATGCTGACAGCCTGAAAATGTTTGTATACGACACATATATTTTTCCAGAATTTAATTGCCCATAATTAAGGGTGCATATAACACAACTGTCGTATTATACACAAATAAATAAGTCTTGTGTACATTGATCAATCAGAAGGGGTGCTAATTGGGAGTGTTCACTAGCCAATATATTAACAAATATCGCCGTGGGCGCTTATTAGAGCGGGGCGCTTATTACGTCGAATACGATATGCTTCTATTGCCAGTACTACTGGCATGCACTGAGAACAACTGACAACACATTAATTACAAACTAAAACACAATATTTGGATGTCTTATTGGCCTTCTGTCTGATTGTAGTACCCTGTAGTGTATGTGTAAGATGCAAATTGTCTTTTATTTTATTATTATTAAGTTACATTTGTCCTTGTATAACAACCAGTGCAGCTTGTCTGGTGTTTGTATTAGGAGATATGAGAGAGCTGTGACTTCTGGTCCACCTGTGATCTGACTGCATGATTCTCAAGTGACCAGCTGGCCACGCTGTACTGACAATACTAACAGTTGATGTGCATGTTCCCTGACAGAGGCCCTGTTGCTGACCTACAACCCTGTGACAGGGGACTGGCTGTCTCAGAGTACACTCGTACACAGGGGACAGGAACTGGACCTTGGAGGCAACAGGAAGGGCAACTGTCGAGAGGTGTTCGAGGTCTACTTCCTCCATCAGGATGAACCACTGGGCAGGTAGGACACATCACTGGAGGCAGGTAGGACACATCACTGGGGGCAGGTAGGACACATCACTGGAGGCAGGTAGGACACATCACTGGAGGCAGGTAGGACACATCACTGGAGGCAGGTAGGACACATCACTGGAGGCAGGTAGGACACATCACTGGAGGCAGGTAGGACACATCACTGGGGGCAGGTAGGACACATCACTGGAGGCAGGTAGGACACATCACTTGAGGCAGGTAGGACACATCACTGGGGGCAGGTAGGACACATCACTGGAGGCAGGTAGGACACATCACTGGGGGCAGGTAGGACACATCACTGGGGGCAGGTAGGACACATCACTGGAGGCAGGTAGGACACATCACTGGAGGCAGGTAGGACACATCACTGGAGGCAGGTAGGACACATCACTTGAGGCAGGTAGGACACATCACTTGAGGCAGGTAGGACACATCACTTGAGGCAGGTAGGACACATCACTGGGGGCAGGTAGGACACATCACTGGAGGCAGGTAGGACACATCACTTGAGGCAGGTAGGACACATCACTGGAGGCAGGTAGGACACATCACTGGGGGCAGGTAGGACACATCACTGGGGGCAGGTAGGACACATCACTGGAGGCAGGTAGGACACATCACTGGAGGCAGGTAGGACACAGCACTGGGGGCAGGTAGGGCACATCACTGGGGGCAGGTAGGACACATCACTGGGGGCAGGTAGGACACATCACTGGAGGCAGGTAGGACACATCACTGGGGGCAGGTAGGACACATCACTGGGGGCAGGTAGGACACATCACTGGAGGCAGGTAGGACACATCACTGGGGGCAGGTAGGACACATCACTGGGGGCAGGTAGGACACATCACTGGGGGCAGGTAGGACACATCACTTGAGGCAGGTAGGACACATCACTGGGGGCAGGTAGGACACATCACTGGAGGCAGGTAGGACACATCACTGGAGGCAGGTAGGACACATCACTGGGGGCAGGTAGGACACATCACTGGGGGCAGGTAGGACACATCACTGGGGGCAGGTAGGACACATCACTGGGGGCAGGTAGGACACATCACTGGGGGCAGGTAGGACACATCACTGGGGGCAGGTAGGACACATCACTGGAGGCAGGTAGGACACATCACTGGGGGCAGGTAGGACACATCACTTGAGGCAGGTAGGACACATCACTGGAGGCAGGTAGGACACATCACTGGAGGCAGGTAGGACACATCACTGGGGGCAGGTAGGACACATCACTTGAGGCAGGTAGGACACATCACTGGGGGCAGGTAGGACACATCACTGGAGGCAGGTAGGACACATCACTGGAGGCAGGTAGGACACATCACTGGGGGCAGGTAGGACACATCACTGGAGGCAGGTAGGACACATCACTGGAGGCAGGTAGGACACATCACTGGAGGCAGGTAGGACACATCACTGGAGGCAGGTAGGACACATCACTGGAGGCAGGTAGGACACATCACTGGGGGCAGGTAGGACACATCACTGGAGGCAGGTAGGACACATCACTGGAGGCAGGTAGGACACATCACTGGAGGCAGGTAGGACACATCACTGGGGGCAGGTAGGACACATCACTGGAGGCAGGTAGGACACATCACTGGAGGCAGGTAGGACACATCACTTGAGGCAGGTAGGACACATCACTGGAGGCAGGTAGGACACATCACTGGAGGCAGGTAGGACACATCACTGGAGGCAGGTAGGACACATCACTGGAGGCAGGTAGGACACATCACTGGAGGCAGGTAGGACACATCACTGGATGCAGGTAGGACACAGCACTGGAGGCAGGTAGGACACATCACTGGGGGCAGGTAGGACACATCACTGGGGGCAGGTAGGACACATCACTGGAGGCAGGTAGGACACATCACTGGGGGCAGGTAGGACACATCACTGGAGGCAGGTAGGACACATCACTGGAGGCAGGTAGGACACATCACTGGAGGCAGGTAGGACACATCACTGGAGGCAGGTAGGACACATCACTGGAGGCAGGTAGGACACATCACTGGGGGCAGGTAGGACACATCACTGGAGGCAGGTAGGACACATCACTGGAGGCAGGTAGGACACATCACTGGGGGCAGGTAGGACACATCACTGGGGGCAGGTAGGACACATCACTTGAGGCAGGTAGGACACATCACTGGAGGCAGGTAGGACACATCACTGGGGGCAGGTAGGACACATCACTGGGGGCAGGTAGGACACATCACTGTAGGACACATCACTGGAGGCAGGTAGGACACATCACTGGAGGCAGGTAGGACACATCACTGGAGGCAGGTAGGACACATCACTTGAGGCAGGTAGGACACATCACTGGAGGCAGGTAGGACACATCACTGGGGGCAGGTAGGACACATCACTGGAGGCAGGTAGGACACATCACTGGGGGCAGGTAGGACACATCACTGGGGGCAGGTAGGACACATCACTGGGGGCAGGTAGGACACATCACTGGAGGCAGGTAGGACACATCACTGGAGGCAGGTAGGACACATCACTGGGGGCAGGTAGGACACATCACTGGAGGCAGGTAGGACACATCACTGGAGGCAGGTAGGACACATCACTTGAGGCAGGTAGGACACATCACTGGAGGCAGGTAGGACACATCACTGGAGGCAGGTAGGACACATCACTTGAGGCAGGTAGGACACATCACTGGGGGCAGGTAGGACACAGCACTGGAGGCAGGTAGGACACATCACTGGAGGCAGGTAGGACACATCACTGGAGGCAGGTAGGACACATCACTGGAGGCAGGTAGGACACATCACTGGGGGCAGGTAGGACACATCACTGGAGGCAGGTAGGACACATCACTGGAGGCAGGTAGGACACATCACTGGAGGCAGGTAGGACACATCACTTGAGGCAGGTAGGACACATCACTGGAGGCAGGTAGGACACATCACTGGGGGCAGGTAGGACACATCACTGGAGGCAGGTAGGACACATCACTGGAGGCAGGTAGGACACATCACTTGAGGCAGGTAGGACACATCACTGGAGGCAGGTAGGACACATCACTGGAGGCAGGTAGGACACATCACTTGAGGCAGGTAGGACACAGCACTGGAGGCAGGTAGGACACATCACTGGAGGCAGGTAGGACACATCACTTGAGGCAGGTAGGACACATCACTGGGGGCAGGTAGGACACATCACTGGGGGCAGGTAGGACACATCACTGGGGGCAGGTAGGACACATCACTGGGGGCAGGTAGGACACATCACTGGGGGCAGGTAGGACACATCACTTGAGGCAGGTAGGACACATCACTGGAGGCAGGTAGGACACATCACTGGAGGCAGGTAGGACACATCACTGGAGGCAGGTAGGACACATCACTGGAGGCAGGTAGGACACATCACTTGAGGCAGGTAGGACACATCACTGGAGGCAGGTAGGACACATCACTTGAGGCAGGTAGGACACATCACTTGAGGCAGGTAGGACACATCACTGGGGGCAGGTAGGACACATCACTGGGGGCAGGTAGGACACATCACTGGAGGCAGGTAGGACACATCACTGGAGGCAGGTAGGACACATCACTGGGGGCAGGTAGGACACATCACTGGAGGCAGGTAGGACACATCACTGGGGGCAGGTAGGACACATCACTGGGGGCAGGTAGGACACATCACTGGGGGCAGGTAGGACACATCACTGGGGGCAGGTAGGACACATCACTGGAGGCAGGTAGGACACATCACTGGAGGCAGGTAGGACACATCACTGGAGGCAGGTAGGACACATCACTGGGCATGTGTAGGATGAACTGGTGTGAATTTAGATAAGGACCGGACATTTCATAAGGGACATTTTCTGGCTGTCAGACTACTGGTATGTGTCCATCTTCAGGTGTATGTGTCCAACTACAGGTGTATGTGTGCAACTACAGGTGTATGTGTCTAATTACAGGTATGTGTGCAAGCGGTACTGGCAGCAGCGCCCTGCCCGGTACTACCAGCAGGACGTGGTGTGTCAGATGATGGCCGGCTACTACGTGACCAGGTTTAACCAAGCCCTCCACAACCACCACAGCAACATCCAGGTGAGCTACAGCACAACATGGGGCACCAAGTGATGTTGGTGATAAGACTTCTACAACTCTAATTTGTGTAATTA